TGTAGAAGATGTGGTGTAAGGCATGTGTGGATTCATGCAGTTTTGTGTTAAAATATTTCCTAAGTAGCCTAAACCCACAGTTATTTTAATCCAAGGACTCACCTACCCAGCATTTTTCTTTCAAGTGTTTTGCAGGTGTTTCGTTGAATTAACACTGTCAAAAAGAATAAAAGAAGCGTGGTAATATTTCAACTTTATCTTGATAACACAAAATCACAGCTTGTGTAATGGAATATGAGCATTTCAGGCCCAATCTTTTTACATATCAGAGTGGAAGGTTAATACGTACATAGAAAAAGTTCCAAAACTACCAGGATCTGTTAAAGCCAAATGCTTTCTATCAGACTTAATTGTTCTCTCTCTTGAGATCCAGGCATAAACTTTGTATCTCAGGCTCAGGATTTTCCCATTTCTTTCCTGTTATTTCTTTGGCTATTCATGACTCCAGGTTTTGTTTTGCGACAGACTTTTCACTATAGTGGTTGGTATAGGGACAGTGACATGCTCTTTACTTCGTTAGTTCTAGACTTACCTAGTGCACTTGTTTTTCAAGCATGTGGAACTTCAGTAGACAGAATTAGTTCAGTGAACAGGTCAAGGTCCCCAGAGCATTCTGAGAAGCTGCTTGCTTATAGAGGCTAATTACGTCAACTAAACTCTGCTGCCACTTTCCATCACTGGAGGTAACACTCTAACTGTAAAATGGTTTTGATCTATACTAAAACAACTGCTATGATTGTGAATCCTGAGACTCCTTTTTTTTTCTTTTTTCTTTTTTTTAATGAAATGAAGCAAAACCTTGATGGAAGCATAAAATAATTGTGGAACATTATCTGATCAAGTTAATTTAAATTGTAATTGAGACTATAGCAATGCATATTTTGCCTGTCACATCTATTCAAAATGTTGGAATTTCCCAGCAGCATTGTTTTGTTCTCATTGTTGGCAAACAGTTTTTCACAATTTGCTTGTAACATTTTAACAATAGCATTAAAAATACATGGTTCATCTTGTCAAGTATCAGAGGGGTAGCCGTGTTAGTCTGAATCAGTAAAAAGCAACAGAGGGTCCTGTGGCACCTTTAAGACTAACAGAAGTATTGGGAGCATAAGCTTTCGTGGGTAAGAACCTCAGATGCATCTGAAGAAGTGAGGTTCTTACCCACGAAAGCTTATGCTCCCAATGGCTCATCTTGTTATACTCAGGATATTCTTGAGTCTCTTATATTAAATATGGCTATTTAGTACAGTACAGTAAGTCATTTATAATGGTAGCTGTGATGGGTTCGGTCACAGAGACCTCCTTGGGACTGTCACCTGATGTGCTGAAACTACCTCTGCGCCCGTTTTCTCTGATGGCTTGAGACTTCAGAACCCTGTCTTGTTGAGCCAGACATGCAAGCCTGCTGCAACACAGGGTCTGAACCACGGCCTTAAAGCTGCAAACTTAACTGAAAACAGCTTAAGAAGTGTTCCTGTCTCCAGCACCCAGACACCGAACTCCCAATGGAATCCAAACCCCAAATAAATCCGTTTTACTCTCTATAAAGCTTATACAGGGTAAACTTATAAATTGGCCGCCCTCTATAACACTGATAGAGAGATATGAACAGCTGTTTGCTCCCCCAGGTATTAATCACTTACTCGGGGTTTACTAATAAACAAAAGTGATTTTATTAAGTATAAAAAGTAGATTTAAGTGGTTTCAAGAAATAACAGACAGAACAAAGCAAGTTACCAAGCAAAATAAAACAAAACATGCAAGTCTAAGCCTAATACATTTAAGAAACTGAAGACAGGTAAATCTCACCCTCAGAGATGTTCCAATAAGCTTCCAATCCTTTTCCCTGCTACAGACCTTGTTAGTTCCAGCTCAAGTGGTAACTCGGGGATTTCTCATGACTGGCAGCCCCCTTTGTTCTGTTCCACCCCCTTTTATAGCTTTGCTACAAGGCAGGAATCTTTTGTCTCTCTGGGTTCCTACCCCTCCTTTTAAAAGGAAAAGCACCAGGTTTAAGATGGATTCCAGTATCAGGTGACATGGTCACATGTCCTGAGAGACCCCAAGCCCCCATTCTTCCTGGCTTGACTCACAGGAATGCAGGAAGGCTTGTGAGTAAGCAGAGCCATTTACAGGTGATTGATTCTGAAGCACCCTTAATTGCTTCCACTTAACATGTTTCCATCAGTAATACAAATGTATATCTTATTCTCCTAACTCCAGACATAGAACTAATACATGCATACAAATAGGATGAACACACTCAGTAGATTATAAGCTTTGTAATGATACCTTACAAGAGACCTTTTGCATGAAGCATATTCCAGTTACATTATATTCACACTCATTAGCATATTTCCATAAAACATATGGAGTGCAATGTCATAGTAGCCACCTATTGTGTCCCCCTTTTTATTCATTTCACGTAGCATCATAGAAGATTAGGGTTGGAAGAGACCTCAGGAGGTCATCTAGTCCAACTCCCTGCTCAAAGCAGGACCAACCCCAACTAAATCATCCCAGCCAGGGCTTTATCAAGCCGGGCCGTAGAACCTCTAAGGATGGAGATTCCACCACCTCCCTAGGTAACCCATTCCAGTGCTTCAGCACCCTCCTAGTGAAATAGTTTTTCCTAATATCCAACCAATATCCAATATCCCACTGCAACTTGAGACCATTTCTTCTTGTTCTGTCATCTGCCACCACTGAGAACAACCTAGCTCCATCCCCTTTGGAACCCCGCTTCAGGTAGTTCATAGAATATTAGAGTTGGAAGAGACCTCAGGAGGTCATCTAGTCCAATCCCCTGCTCAAAGCAGGACCATCCCCAACTAAATCATTCCAGCCAAGGCTTTGTCAAGCCGGCCCTTAAAAACCTCTAAGGATGGAGATTCCACCTCTAAGGATGGAGTTGAAGGCTGCTATGAAATTCCCCCCTCACTCTTCTCTGCTGCAGACTAAATAAGCCCAATTCCCTCAGCCTCTCTTCATAAATCATGTGCCCCAGCCCCCTAATCATTTTCATTGCCCTCCTTTGGACTCTCCAATTTGTCCACATCCTTTCTGTAGTGGGAGGCCCAAAACTGGATGCAATACTCCAGATGTGGCCTCACCAGTGCCGAAGAGAGGGGAATAATCACTTCCCTTGATCTGCTGGCAATGCTCTTACTAATACAGCCCAATATGCCATTAGCCTTCTTGGCAACAAGGGCACACTGTTGACTCATATCCAGCTTCTTGTCCACTGTAATCCCCAAGTCCTTTTCTGCAGAACTGCTGCTTAGCAAGTCAGTCCCCAGCCTGTAGCAGTGCATTGGATTCTTCCGTCCTAAGTGCAGGATTCTGCACTTGTCCTTGTTGAACCTCATCAGATTTCTTTTGGCCGAATTCTCCAAATTGTCTACGTCACTCTGGACTCCATCCCTACTCTCCAGCATATTTACCTCTCCCCCCAGCTTAGTGTCATCCGCAAACATCCGATCATCCAGATCATTAATGAAGATATTGAACAAAATTCATCATTTTTCACTGATTTTAACATTTTTCCTACCATGGTTATTGATACTTGTTTATAGTCTCCTGGTTTTCTACATTGCTGATAACTGCTTGACAAGAAGCCCTTTCTCTGGAAAGGCCAATTCAGCAGAGCATAAGGTTAGAAGTTATATGTGAGAAGTAGCAAATTAAAAAAAACAAAACCAGTACAAAGGAGAAGCCATACCAGGGAGGGCTAGAAAAGAAAAGGAAAGAGAACAAAAGAGAATAACCAAGAGAGGAGATAGATGATGAAAGAAAAGGGGGAAAGGAAAAGTGGGGAAAAAAATGCATCAGAAGAGGTGCACAGGACTTGAGTTAGACCCGTATTGTTGATTAAATCCATGCCACACATTCCAAAACCTAATTCCACTCCATTTCAAGATAAACATAGTAACCTCCATATAATACCTTTATATACCAGTTCAAAATAAAGGAAACTGATACAATGGAAACCCTGGGTATCTGCGGGTCACTGACCTTGAAACACTAACTTTAAGTTTGCTCCCCCAAATATAATAGATTGCTGAAGGCTGGCTAGCTATGTAAGAGAATGCAGCAGCTGTACTCAAGGACTCTGCAGCACATACATCTACATGCACTGGTCAGACTTCACACATCAAAGTCATATCCGGACTTGGTATAACTGAGAGTTTTGGTTAACCACGATTCTCATCATCAAGGTTGACTACATTAACACAAGGAATGTCATTCTTGGACAGAAGGAAAGAAAATAATTAGTGAAAATCCCTACTACTTTCCTTTCCTTTCTGTTTTTTCCCCCCATGTTTCCTTTTATCTTTTCATTTCTCCTTTCTCCCACTCTCTCTTTTTTCTTGTCACCAAATCTCTGCAGATACAGTATCTTCTTTCCCTTGTTCCTTCAGCAAAATATGCCATAATTTGGGAGATAGGCCAGGATTTATAAATGTGGTGTCTTTTGAACTGTGGGCAAGCATTAGTTTCTCTACTGCAATTGTCCTTTCTCCTCTCTGGTCTGGATTTTTTAATCTGTAGGCATTTACACCCATCTCCTCAAACTTTTCCAAATGTTTCTGTCCTAAATGTCACTGATTTTAATGGCTCAGAGGTGGAAAACTTGCTTTCATGACATCCCCTGATAGTAACATTAAGCCATGAACCATGATCTTATTCCATTTGATTGATGAGCTCATTTTGCAACAGAGGACAAATTAGATTTTTATTTATAATGGTGATAAAAATTAATGCATGGTCTTCCTATTCTGATGGTATTAGATTTCTGTGTTAATACACATTTTACTAGTCAATTCTCTAAGTGCTCCCCTGACCTTTTAAGGTTTTTTAAAAAGCTTTCTCTTACAGGTGAATACAATTCCTAGAGAAACAAAGTATTTCCTCCTTTTTTTATTTTCATTTTGACAGCTTGACATGCTTTTTTATGTCTACTGCTTAGATTTATTTTGTTACTTATTTTCTTGTTTTAGCACCGCCAAAGTTTACAAGAACTCCCGTTGATCAGACAGGGGTCTCTGGAGGAGTCGCATCATTCATCTGCCAAGCTACAGGAGACCCAAGACCTAAAATTGTCTGGAATAAAAAGGGAAAGAAAGTCAGCAATCAGAGATTTGAGGTATTAGGTCCATTGTTCTGTTCCTCTGAAAAACATTCATTCTAACATCACATTTATTTTATGTTTTTAATCCTGGTGAGTGTGCTTTATTATCAATGACTAAGCAAATAGCCATCACCACAGGGGATAAATCTTTGCAAGCAGTCCTGGGAATCACCTACTCTGCAAACTGGTTGTCCGCAAGACCACTGAAGAGAAGACAGTTTTGCTATCTCTTAAGAGTTTCCTTTTGACTTTTTCTAAAGATTAGCATTGGGAATGGTCTCAGAGGAGGCGGCTTTCCTACCTTTCATGGCCAGAAATTGAACAAAATGATAAAGACTATCTACTAGTGGAGCGTTGGGGTGTTTCTGGGGGGTAATTCTGGGGACACTATTGCCTCTTTAAGTGGTGGGAGAAGTTAGGATTAAGGTTGGATTGGCCTATGGATTGTTCAGAGAAGATGACACCAAAAACCTGGAATTGATTATGTATAACTTCAGCTGCATCTCTACTAGCTTCTCAGTATTAAAAATAGGATTTTGCTTTTAGAAAATAATCACAAGGCAAAGTACTATTATAAATTATCTATCACACAGTTCTGACACATGCTATATGAATGAATGGTCTAGACTTGCATGCCAGAATGTTTATAGGAAAATGTAAGTCTGTGCCTCTGACTATGAAGAGACAAACCAAAATGCATTGGGATAATTTTTCACAGGACTCACCCAGGATGTTAGCTTTTAATGGTATTTGAGTTGATAACTCACATACGGCTTTGTAAATTAGTCCTGCTATGTCAGTAGACCAAAGGCTACATTTTATTTCTTGTGTGGGCTAATCGTTTTATTTTAAGAGTATTTAAAAGCAATCAGCTCATGTTTTGGTACCATACAAGATCTATCAACCTTTCACTAGCTATTATGGTTCTTTGCAAATGTATTTAATTCAGTAAGAAAAATAGTTGTCAAAGGATTTTAAGATATGTACTCTCCACTCAATGCAAGTAATTGTTTACAGCTTTCAATGAATATGCACAATTCTTTTTTACGTAATTGGAGTGAGAGGAGAATAGGCGCTTTATAATAAAGCATACGCAATCTGTCCCATAATGGTCACAAAATCTACATTGAAGATGAGCAGCAAACAGTCAGACAGATCATGTATATGTCTGGGTATTGTATTTGTGTTGACTTAGTTTTATTTTGCAGTATTGCGTTTTATTTGTTTCATATACCATTTTATGTTTATTTCTATATTTGTTTTATGGGAGAATAGGCTAAAAGATAAACATGTTTTACTTCCATGAAATATTTGAACTGAACTATAAATATATGATGTAAAATGTATTTTTAAAAGTCCTTAAGTGGTCTGTGGAACAAGAGTGCATATTCAAACAGGATAGGACATGTTTCAAAGAATTATGAAACATTTAACAGGTAATTTTCATTATAAAGCACTGAAAAGCTAGTTAGTTAAAACAGAAAGCACATCAACACTTTAAGGAGCTTTCTTCCCTCTCCAAAAAAAGCCATTAACTCATGCTGTAGAATTTTCAAATGGAAAGTAGAGCAACAGCAGAAATTAGATTCAGAAAAGGCACATGGAGAAACAGGGAATATTTCGGACTTTGCACCTCAGCAGTAACTACAGGGGTCTCAAATAATTATTCTTGTTTTTCCCTTATTCGCTAAAATAAATGTTTATGTATCTTTCTGAATTTCATTACTCAGTAGTAAGGAGGCTTCACCTACCTCTCTCTCATTATAAAAGTGCTTTTGCTCCCTGTTTGAACAATTCCAAGTACGTGGTATTGCCCAATAATTAATAAGAGCAATTTATCTTTTCAGAAATTTAAGGCATAGGGCGGACCTTTCACACAGTAAATATATATTATAAATGAACATTGCATGGTGTTTTTCCTGCTTCAAATCCATTCAAACAACATGGATTAGAAGTTCAGCTTGAAAATTATTGGGTAAGAATCCTGGTTAGGAGATACTGCAAAAGAAATGGAGGAGGGGAAGAGGAAACAAATGAAAAATGTGTATTTCACCGCTCCACGTTATGGAGAGATGTAGGTTCTACTCCTAGAACATGCAGGAGTACAGGCATCACTTTAACATTTGGGAGCGGGCAGAAAGATTTGAGTTCAGGGTAGGAAAGAAGAGTTCACAAACGTATTCATGTGGTGTACCCCAAAAATTAATTTTTAGACTCAACACCTGAACTCCACAAGGTTTGCCCAGCCTGGTCAGCTGCAACTTTTCCATTAGCCAGTCAGCATCTAGGATTACCCAGTGTTCGTAGGGTGTCTCAGTTTCCTAAGTTTTCAGTTGCAAGCCTCTCTGACTACTGGTTTCAGAGTAGCAGCTGTGTTAGTCTGTATCCGCAAAAAGAACAGGAGTACTTGTGGCACCTTAGAGACTAACAAATTTATTA